CGGCTCCTCCTATTTAATCCTATGCTTCTCATACAAATATCTAGTGAAATGTAGTCGTTTCGGATCTCTACCGACTCTTCAGGCGGCCGTTGAGCTCAGCGGCTATCCGGATAGCATATCCGGACAGATCGCCGAGTACTTACCGTGATCCTTGGCTCCTAAGCTCTGGGTTATCAGACCAAGCCGATTCTTGACCTAAAGTAGGTCGGCGTATGGTCGAATCTGGAAATCCCTACACCACGTTGGCGACGAAAATCACTTAAGTTTTGTATGTGGACTGGATATGCACAAATCCGACCCTGGCATCAACCATGCCAATCATTTGGGATCAGCCAATCAGATAGCTCCATTCGATCCACTTCAACTTATGACCCCTCAGGGCACACGCTTGCCGCGCGAAGTGCAATCACAACACTAGATACTCTGTATCCCTCGAGTCGCACGACAGCTTTTGAGTAAACATGAATATTTCTTGAACAAACTATTGCCGCCGTTGTTTCTGTTCTAGATACTCTGTATTAGCACCGGTCACCAGGGCAACAAAGTAAAAGCAGATAACAACCTCAGCAGAGCCCACCGAACCAACAGAGTAGAGTCACACGGCAATTTTTTTTAGTAAACGTGTATATATCTTGATTAAACTATTGACGTCGCTGTCTCTGTTCTAGAAATTGAGAGTATGCGTTCGAGGCTTGTAGTAGTCGAGTGCTAAAAAGAAATGAAATCCGAAAGTGAGTTTTATTGAGTTAGTGGTTCTTGTATTGCTTTGCTAGCTCCTTTCTACTTTCCTTCGTAGTCCTCCTAATCACGTGTGAATCCATACACAAAAGATACATTTCGTCGGCAACGCCTACACTCGTCATAGGCGTTGGCGACGAAAATCACTTGAGTTTTGTATGTGGACTGGATATGCACAAATCCGACCCTGGCATTAACCATGCCAATCATTTGGGATCAGCCAATCAGATAGCTCCATTCGACCCACTTCAACTTATGACCCCTCAGGGTGGCTCTTAACCACTGCCATACGTGCCATGCCATGCCATGGCACTTCCATCTTCGTGGCACGCATGGCACCAACTGGTTAAAAATGAAAAATCCGATTTCGTGCCACAACGCGTTTTTTAACCTAATATTTGACATAGAAAATCATTTACCAAAAGGAAACCAAACGGAAACGTTACCTTGCTTGTACTGACGAACATGTCCAAGCGAGGGATGAAGAGCTCAACTAAAAGGGGGCGAACAAGCGCAAGCGGCTCAAGATACTGCCGTCCACATATCCGTCGAACTTTGTGGAGTCTTACACATCATCCACACCGCTCGCAACAACCAGCTCTTTGAAGAAGTCTGCGGACGAAGGACGAGAGCACATGGAAGTACAGTAAGCTTGCCATCAAGCAAGCCTGCAGCACCAGCCGACCCGCCGTTGGATCTTGCGTGTGCCACTCCGTTTGTACAAGCGCTGAGAGCACCACTTTCATTGCCACTGCTTCCACCAGCAACGCCTATTAGTGACATTCACGTTTACAGTAGCGGGCGTTCTGGCGCTGAACTGCTGGAAGCTATCGATTCCATATTGAGTGCATCATCAGAGGATGAAATGGACCCACAATCATTGGTCGTGACTGCTGACGTCGTCCTTTAAAGTCATTACGCCTGCGAGAGTGACAAATTGGACCGTTAAAAACCCAGGCAAAGTCCTCCCGCCGAAAATCAACGACTACGAATTGTGGACGGTGGCGCAGTTAAGAAAGGAATGCACCGAAAGAAACCTCCGCCTTTTCCGATCGACTAGCAAACAGGAGCAAATACGCTACCTGCGATCGTATGACGCAACAAAACGAGCTGTCGAGGCTACGGTGGACGAAGATATTCTTCTGGAACCGGGCTTACGGAAGACAAAGAATTGCTTCATTAGGCTCATGAATATTATCTTCTCCGACCGCTTTGCGGAGCGTCTTGCTCGGTCAGACGGCACCGTGACGCGTGAGCAACTTGACGTAGGTGAAGTGAATGACAAGTCAACATTCTGGAAAGATGTTGGTGTGGAGTTTCGGCGAAATACTACCGACTACAACAAACTATTCGACAAGGCAGCCGACAATTCAGGGTTCGGCAACATTAACACCTCCATGATCGTGCACCACGATGACGCCAAGCTCTACGACATGTGGAAAAAAGGCAACGCAAAGTACAAGAAGGCGCAAGCAAAAATTTTCGTCTCCGGCCAGAACAGCAACGACTTCTACAATTTTTGTGACGGCAACTTAGATACACTCTATCTAAAGATCTGCACTGAAGTTAAGCCCGAGCTCGAACACTACGTCAATGGTGGCATGCACCCAGAAGATGAAATTGACTCATTGAAGCTAGCTATTTCTCGCCGCATCACACCTACCAACAAAACAGCTAAATGGCAGAATCAAGTGGTTAGTACGGTAACCAGGATGGCAGATTATCTGCTGGGAGCTCCAGTTACATCTCCAACGGCTTCATTAAGCACTCGTGGAACCCAAGATGAGAGCCAGCTCATTGATCGTATCGCAAAGTTGCATCAGCTCATTGCTCAAGTAAAGGAAAGTCAACGAAATCGGAGATGGATGGAGCTACCGATCCTTCACTAGAGGCGAGTCTTCTAAAGTATCAGCAGCGCCTACACCGCTACGAGAACCAACTGGAGGCTATGGATTGACGTCACAACACCCACAGATCAACGTCCACGAAGACTTAAAAAAATCTCGACCTCGCAGACGTGGACATTCGTGTTTTTTTTGCTGGATATGAACCGTTCAGATAATAATCCCTCACATACGAAATAAAACTCAGTGTTTTGGCATTTAACGATACTAATGAGGCTTATAGCGTTTCTCGGCTCTGCTGTGCTCGTCTAGCAATATTGCGCATTGGACGCAAAATCGCTTCGTGCTCAATTAGCCCAACCAGCGCATTGCGGGCCCACTCCGAACAACTGGTTGTGTCTCCATCAATTGCTAGATCTGACGACTGATACAAACGCCGATAGATCGAAGCATCGTGTAATTCTATCGTTGCATCTTGTATGGCTACTTGTTCACGGCCCACCTCGTCAATACCATCAATTAAGTCTTCGTCATCTTCCACACAGTAGCGGTTGTTCTCACGCAGGCGTTGGTTGATGCACCAGTTGTGCAGGATACAAGCGGCTAATATAGTAGACGGGACCCGTTTAAATCCAATTTCTAGTGGCGCCTTGAACACGCGCCACTTGCACACCAACAGACCAAATGCCATCTCAATTCGGATGCGGAGCTGACGCAGATGAAAATTATAGCTGTCATGTGCTGCCGATGATATTCGTGGCCTTGGAAATGGGGTTAAAAGGTGATTTGTGTTGGTGTATGCATTATCACCAACAGCGTAAAGTCCACTCGGAAGGTTTTCAACAACATTTGAAAGCTGCCACTTTAGATATGCTACCGCATCCCCAGATCCTCCAGGACTTAAGCAGGTAACTGCAGTGAACCGGCTGTGGTGGTCACAGCAAGCTTGAGCATTAACACCGTACCGTTGATAGTGACCACTAAAAAACGAACGAACTCTCGCGACTTCAGCTCTGGATGGAACTTGAATCGGGCAAAGCCATCCGTCAATTGCCCCGATACAACCTTTAAATAATCCCGAGTTACTAAGTCTTGTGAATGCCTTGGCTGCGTGCCGTTGCTCGGTTAACGTTGTAGGAAAGTTTAACTGGAGATCAGGGTGTGAAATTATGGCGTCTACCACCTGATGAATTGACGTGTAAAATGCTCCGACACTTACACCAGAATTGATGCGAATATCGTGAAACGAACCACCACTTAGCCAACGCAGACACATCTGAATCTTGTTAATGTGTGTAATTGGTTCCGTCCCCGTCCGGTTACGTGACTGCTGCTTGTCAACAGGGAGATATGGCTCCAACTTGGCTGAACGACGCATAAGACATCTTGTACATCCTGCGAAACTGTCCTTCATCAAGTAAAAGCTGCGAGTGCACCTCCCAGTTGATGCGCTTACGTAGAAGACAGCTTCGACGAGCAGTTGCGGGGAGTGTTGCGGTCAGCACTATCAGGAGAAGAAGTATGATCAGGACCATCACTTTCGACTCCATGTCGTGTGGCGTCATGAAAAGAAGATTTTCACGATATCCATCAAAGAATATTCTGCTTAACTCTAAATTTTGTATGTGGCGCGGTGGCACTTGCTCGTGAAATGGCACCAAAATTCTGCCACTGTAGCAGTTAGGGGTAGATCTTTCAGAAAAATGGACCAATCAGAATATCCGATTTTGTGCCATGACATGGCACGACGCGGTTAAGAACCACCCTCAGGGCACACGCTTGCCACGCGAAGTGCAATCACAACACTAGATACTCTGTATCCCTCGAGTCGCACGACAGCTTTTTGAGTTAACATGAATATTTCTTGAACAAACTATTGCCGCTGTTGTTTCTGTTCTAGATACTCTGTATTAGCACCGGTCACCAGGGCAACAAAGTAAAAGCAGATAACAACCTCAGCAGAGCCCACCGATCCAACAGAGTAGAGTCACACGGCAATTGTTTTAGTAAACGGGTATATATCTTGATTAAACTATTGCCGTCGCTGTCTCTGTTCTAGAAATTGAGAGTATGCTTTCGAGGCTTGCCCACGTTCGCAGAAATCGGGTTCACGTTTGAGCTGCCATAGGACACCTTCTTCTCGTGCTAGGCTAGATACGACAGGAACATGTCCTTGCCCTTGTTGTCCAGTGCCTTGTTGAACTTGACCGACATCGTGAAGAAGACCACGTCCTCGCTCGTCTTCGGCCGCTTGCCTGCCTTGTCCCCGTGATACTTGCCTCAATGACCGTCTCGGCATCAACGCACTATAATCTCCAGTCGCTGGACAGTCGTGTACATGTACATTGGGATTGGAGGAGACTTCCAGCTACCCCGTCCATACGTGATTTTCGCGAGCCTCCACTTGGAGCAAAATCTTCTTCGGCAGGAATCGCGATGGCGTGGACAATAGCGAGACGTAGAAACGATCAAACGTACTCTCAGCATCATATACAGTTGCTCTTGTACGGCCAGCTTTGCTAATTCATCAAACAGGAAATCGTTTAGAGAAACTATTGGTGCACGCTGAAATGGTAAACGCGACGAAAGTGGCGTATCAAGAACGTCTCCTTGGCTCAAAAACACTTTGTGGAGTAATAGCATCCTTGGTGCATGCTCTCGCAAACAATGAACACCTCGAAGAAAAACCTCCGGTCGTTTCTCGATTTCCAAGCATTGGCGTGCAATCGTCTGAATCGCAAACTGCGCCGCAACATTCCCCAGGCCAGCACCAATGTCAAGAAAGACGTGGTCTCGATGCACAGCTCCAATCATTTGAATCACGCTTGATATAGCGGCAGGCAGCATCTCACCTGCGTTCTCCTTCGTCTTTCCCGCTTGTTGACGAACGTCCGCGGCCGAAACGTTGCTGAAGATATCGCGGATAGCGCTTTCGGCTTGGCTCGGCTCCAGAAGACGAAGATGCTGCTTGTGAGATAATGTTGGCGTCGACATGGAGAAAAAAACACGGTGGAAATCTTGATAGATCACGTCCATACGTGCGCTTCAGAGCACGCAGCCGGTTCTCAAGCGCTTGAACAGAATGTTTACTTCTCATGGCCCGCGCCACCTCCTTCCACTCTACTCGCTTGTGTTGGGATTCATACTCGAGTGCAAGCGCTACAATTCGTTTGTCTTGTGCGTCGGTGAAGTTGGTCCGCATGGCAAAAAAATACTGAGAGAGAAGACATGCATCTAACCTAGGAATACTATAGTTGATACCAGCACGATTGGTGGCTCTGGGGCTGAAGCCTCGACCAAATTTTTATGATAGGTTTTAGGATCTGCTAGCCTTGTTTACAACACGTTGTTTCCTTGCGCTTCATGGGGCTACCAGCCGAACCGCAAATATGACGCTAGGCTGGCCAAAAAAGGTACGCGCTCTCACGATATTCACAACTCAGTTTCGCGGCACAGAAAGGATCTATCAGAAGCCGTAATGCGAAGATCTGATTGGCAAAAACAAAACAAGGTGTGGATTTTGTAGAAAGCGGCAAAATGCCGCGTTTAAAGGGTCGTTTCCCACCCTCTTTTGAAAATCATGTCAAACGCGGCACAATGCCGCGTTTGACCACGAAAGGGTCAATAATCAGAACGTGACGATATACGGGGGCTATAAAAGCAGTAAAGTACTTGCAAGAGCTACAGTACTGCACCCCGTTTCGCGGGGG